TTTGATCAGAGTGGTCAAAGTGCTGAGAATAAGTAATTATGATTGTTCAGCCATAGATGGTATGTATATATCAACCTGCTTCCACATGAAAAAAAATGTAATAGCTGGAGGACTGGAAGGAAGACTGGAATGTGGTGTCTTCTGGACATGCCTTGGCTATGAAACATATGAATTCACAAAAACTGTGCTTACCTTCAGGCGTGCTGTATATAATCAAGCCAGGTAAAATCCCAGGTGGGGTCTGGGAGACGACTCAGCACTTAAGAACACTTGCTGATTTTGCACAGGACCATAGTTCAGTTCCAAGCATCCATGGGGCAGCTAACAGCCATCCTGAAGTCTGGTTCCTGAGGATCCGCTGCCCTCTTCTGGCCTCTATGAGTATTTCCTACATGGGTGGACTTGTGTAAATGCAGAAAAAACATACATATCGGTTAAAAAGAAACAAGAATAAATAATGCAATTTTTTAAATCTAAACATGAATAAGGAATGGGGTCCTGAAGCTTCACTACTAGCTGAGTAGCCATTGGCAGTCACTTTTTCTTTGGGGATGTGGCCACTTGTAGGTTGCCCATGCCTAGTAGTTTTCCCCACACCCAACTGCATATAAGAAGCACTGACTGCACTCAGTGGGTTAAAAATAATCACAAAATAAATAACAAATAATTTTTAAAGAGGATATGACGTTGACAGGGAGACTGTGAGGGATTCTAGGGGGAGCTGTATGGGAGCAAAAGGGGCTGCATACAATCATTTGAAAAGAAGGGATTTTCACAGATAAAGAGAATGAGGTCAATGTTCTTTTAGTATCAGTTAAGTGATGAAAATTCACATGGTAAGAAAACATACAAATAATGCATAATTCCATCAAATTTAATAAACTGTATATTTAAAAGACAAGAACCAAAAATTGTAGAATATGAAAAAATTAGTGCACTGCAATGGCTAATTTTGATTGCCAAAAGATTAGGTTAAGGAACACTGATGACCGTCTTCAGTGAGACATACATTTGGGTGGATCTGTGAGGATATTTTCAGAGATTAACAGACGAGATGAGACTTGCCCCAGATTTCTGTGGCATCACCCCATGGTGTAGCAGTCAGAATAAGAAAAAGAAAAGGTGGAAACGGAGCTGCCAGCATTTATGTTTCACTGCATCCTGGTCCACAGTCAAGAAACAACCTCATGATCCTGTCACTGCAGCCTCTGGCTATATGCTGAGAAACTCTCAGCGGCTGGATAGACTTTATCCCCCCAAACCAGCAAGCCAAAATAAACCTGTTTTCCCTGAAGTTGCTTCTTGTTAGGTATTTGGTCACAGACATGAAAAGAGTAATTAATAGGTATAGGAAAGATAGCTTCCAACCGATTTAAAGCGATCAAACTAATACTTATTAATTCAAGTTTTGAGAACATCTACTTATGTGGTAATACTAGAAAATGATGTTTTATTTCCATTATATTCAGAAATATGCATAATATCTTTTGTGTAAATACATTAAGATAAATATTGAGAGAGACTGTCATGAGAAACAAACACCCTCACTTCTGGAGACTCAGAATAATAAAAAAGAAGCAGTTTATTTTACAACTTTGCATAGTTGACATCAACCTAGAAGGGTTAGCACAAGAACTAAGTGCAGAAAACCATCTTTATAACTCTGAATACGTTGTCCTTTGTCCCATTCTTAATACCTGAGTAATCAGGGCATATAATCTCGCATGCCATTTATGTCTTATCTTTTTCACATTAAAATCCGTGTGTGGGTACATTTCTGTGTTTTATATCTTTCCACCCCCTCTTCCACAATGATCCATTAGCCATGGGTGGGTGTGGTTGAGTATACGTCTATACAATGTCTTCCATATACTTTGGCTACTTGTTGCTTCCTGTGCTGGTCACACTCTGTTGCATGTGGGAGCTTTGCTGGTGAGAGTGGAGAGATGTATTAGCATTCTCTCTATCCTTTGTTTTTCTATGTCCAGTGAACCTGAGGTATGAAGGTTTCACTGAGGTGTGTCACCTGGGGTTGGACATCTCTCAGACATAAATTCTCTGTGTGTGACCAGTTGTGGGAGTCTGTAATGATCTCCATCCATTGCAAAAAGAAACTACTTTGATGAGTAGTGAATGGTATACATGTCTGTAAATATAAGGATCCCTATTAGCATACAGTAATAAATTACATTTGTCAGGACTGAGGAGCCGCCTCAGCAGTTAAGAGCACTGGCTGCTCTTGCACAGAACCTAGGTTTGGTTCCCAGCACCCACATGGTGACATGGTGACTAAGAACCATTTGTAACTTCAGTTCCAAGGGATTCAACATCTCGTTCTGATTTCCATGGGCATTGTACCACATGGGTTCACTTACATACAAGCAAGCAATACGTGCATACACATAAAACCAAAATTAAATAGATAAATATATTTTTGAAAGAACATTGTAATGCAACACTACTGGGGAAATTCCCTCAGTAGACAATTTAAGCTGAAGCCAAGAGCCACAAAATTGTGCATCTGGAGATGCATGTTAGATGAGAGAAAACATTCAAGCAAGTGATGTGGGGCTGTGATTTCTTTTTGATGTCATTTTTGTCATCCAATGGAGTCAACAAATTGAAATGAGTATTTATCTGCTATTAATAACTTAGAGACCACTAGTATTTGTTTGTATTTATTTTTAAACTTTGACCCAAAGAATGTGTTCTTAAAAACATGCTAAAATACAGTAGGGATTGATTTCTATCCTTTCTATTTGGTATTTTTTTCAGAAATCATATATTCTCGTTCACTGTACTTTCTCCACATTTTCTTCTATTCATTATATTATTCAAGAAATTCAATGCCTCAAGGGAGCCATTAAGTTCTTGAAAGTCTCTTAATTCCCTGGATAAACAGAAAGGAACTTTTATTATTATGTGTATTATATCCTTTGAATCAGAAGTTAACTCCAGGGAGTATATTCCCTTTTGAAATAAGGTAAATATATAAGTGAGTGTCTTGTCTGAATGTGTCTTCTAACATGATTTTAAGTATCTCATTTGTATTTTCATACCAAGGATTCTTTGCCTTTGATTCTCCTATATGTGAGGATAATTTTGAATTTCAACCCTGCTGCCTGTTACTACTGTCATTTACCGAATTTGTACATCATTTTAAAAGTAAGATTTTTAGTGTTTTGTTTTATTTTGTTTGAGAGAATTATAGAGAAATAAACCAAGAAATAGATGGTCACAGAGTGTCTAAATGGGTTAAAATATTAAATATTTTTCTTTCATTGAAGAGCTAAATCCACTTATCTTGATCTTTTATGTAAATATCCTGCAACTGAGTTTCTGTTTTAATAATTAAGAAATGTGTTTCAATCTAATAGAGTTGTCAAATTACAGAGGGAAAGCAAGTTGCGATTTACCCACCTACTCCCACACTTCATAATACAGTTCTCTCTTTTCCATGTGAACATTACAACTTCTACTAAATCTAAATCGGAAACACATAATTATCTTTCAAATAGCACTATAGATAATCTAAATGTAATATAGTTATCTTCTTTTTATTGTTTTAGTACGCTTTCAACACTGATCTTTTTCTGAAGTTTATGAAAACTATAAGTAACACACCCACAACAAATAGATAATGAAATTATCCATTACCCATCATTCATTACACTTTAGTGATGATGTTACAAGTTAACTAGTATTTAGAGGGATGGATATGCATTTATTATGTCGAAAAGACTTCACCTACTTTAAAGATTGAGTTGGTTCATGGAAGCAGACAGTTCACAAGGAATGGTGTGTATGCCCTAAATATTTGCATTATTCTAATGGTTTATTTTGCTTCTAAAAATAGAAATTGTTGGAAATTGTATCCCCAAGCCTCAGAGAACAATTTTCTGAATTGGTCTGAAACCAATTATGAGTGACTTTTCACAATGTTTCATATAACAGATTAAAGAATCTTTTAACTCTGTATCTAGTGGGTGAAGTTCTCAAATTATACAAGGATGACTCCAGAGCTTTTCCATAAGTTTAAAAAAAAAGAAAGAGAGAAATAGGGGGCTGGAGAGATGGCTCAGCGGTTAAGAATACTGGCTGTTCTTGCAGAAGACCTGGGTTCAAATCCCAGCACCCACATGGTAGCTAACAACTGTCTGTAACTCCGGATCTTCTGTCCTCCACAGGCATTTTATGACATGGGTGCACTTACCTACATGCAGGCAATACATGCATACACATAAAATAAAAATAATAATTTTTTTTTAAAAAAAGAAACTAACACACACAGGTGGCTTGGGGTAGAAGCCTTATCTATCATACATGATGGTCTATGTTGAATACCACCCCCCCACATATGCACATGGGGTAGGAGCTAATTTTGACAGTATAAATGGGATATGGGTACAAATATAATATTGCATATGTGTGTGCATGCATGCATGCATATGTGCTTGTGTGTGGGGTCTAAGAACCCAGGGTCTAGGGAATGCTAAACACACACTCTACCACTGTTATACATCCCTATTACCTAATTTTATTCTGTTGAGGGGACCGTCTTTGATATGCTGTATTTCTTGCTAGATTTCACATTAACTACTATTAATTTTAACCAAAATGTACAAACAAGAGACTCAGTATAGACATAGATTCAATGTCCAACATCAGTTCTCCTGCTTTTATAAACTAGGTTTTACCTGCATTTTCAAGGAAAGTCAGTTTAGCTTTCTATATACCTTAATGTTTGCATATTTCATGCATCTTTTAGCTAAGAATAAAAAAACTATTTTTCTAATCGTGGAACATTTAATGGAAAAGTAACAATGTTTCAAGAAATTGCTACCTTTTTAGTTATATGTTTCTATGTTTATAAGCAGGACAATGGAAGGGAAAAATTCACTGATACAAATAACATTGCTAGTTTGAGATTCTGAAGGCATTGATAGTTTACTATGACTGCAATTTACCAATATGGTCTATTATTAATAGGCACCAAGAAGCACAATTACATGGCTAATGGCAATTTCACATTTGTTACTGAGTTTATCCTTTTGGGACTGACAGATCAAGCTGAACTGAAAGTGTTTCTCTTCATACTGTTCCTGCTGATCTATGTCATCTCCTTGGTCGGGAATCTAGGAATGCTCTTTCTGATCCAAATGACTCCCAAACTCCAAATGCCTATGTATCATTTCCTTAGCTGTCTGTCATTTGTAGATGCATGCTATTCATCAGTATTTGCACCCAAAATGTTGCTGAACTTTTTTGTTGAACGTGAGACAATCTCGTTCTCTGCGTGCATAGTGCAGTACTTTTTGTTTGTGTCACTGCTCACCACAGAGGGCTTTTTGCTGGCTGTGATGGCTTATGACCGTTATGTAGCCATTGTAAACCCATTACTTTACACAGTGGCTATGACCAAAGCAGTTTGTGTTGGACTGGTGCTTGGTTCATATGTAGGAGGTGTAGTCAACTCATTGACACACATAATTGGCTTAATGAAGCTGTCCTTCTGTGGGCCAAATGTTCTCAGCCACTTCTTCTGTGACCTTCCCCCCCTCTTGAAGTTGTCCTGTTCTGATACATCCATGAATGAGCTGTTGCTTTTGGTCTTCTCTGGAGTCATTGCTATGACCACGCTCCTGATTGTGATAGTCTCCTACATCTTCATTGTTGCTACAATCCTGAGGATCCGCTCAGCAGTTGGCAGACAGAAAGCCTTCTCCACCTGTGCCTCACATCTGACAGCTGTGACCTTGTTCTATGGCTCCATCAGCTTCAGTTACATCCAACCCAGTTCCCAATACTCCTTGGAACAAGAGAAGGTGGTGTCTGTGTTTTACACCCTGGTGATTCCTATGTTAAACCCACTGATTTACAGCTTAAGGAACAAAGAGGTGAAGGATGCTGTGAAAAGGGCTGTGGACATGAAACATTTCCTATGTTAAGACTGCATGTTAGTGAAAAGAAGACAGAAATCACAGATTTGTGTAATCACATTTATAAAGATTGAATAAAGTTTCAGTTAACTGAAACTATAGGATTTATTCAGTTTGTGTTTTGTGTTTTTCATTTATTAAAAGCCATACAATAATCATGTTATGTTACTCTCTAACCTAAATGCTAGACTAAGACCTTGGGTAATTTTCTCTTATATGAGTTAAAAATTATAAATATATATATATATATATATGTGTGTGTGTTGCTACATATACAGAAAAAAAGCATTCAAACACACCAACAAAACCACATAAAATAAAGCATAAAAGACAAAATTCATAAAGTTAAAATTTATCTTAGCTTGTTCCCTACTCTAAAATATTTGTACTTACCCAGAAAGTGGACAGATGTGTTTCAAAATTTTTCCTAGGTTATTTTCAGTCTTATTCTTCACAGTGAATGTGCATGATTAAATTAGCTTTAAAAAATAACCTGGTGTAGATATCCTTTCCATTCACAGAGATGAGTCAGAGCCAGTTCTCCATCCTTGGTTCTGGTTAACCACACATGGAGTCCAATTCAAAGGAACAGCCCAGTGTTGAATCCTCCATAGTGAGGCATTAGTGAGTCCCAGGGAAGCGCTCTCAGAATTGCACTTCATATTTAGAAGAGAAGACTCCCTGACCATTAGAAAGTCATCAGTAATCGTGTCTGTTATTTCTTTCAATGAATGCTCCAGCATCGTTTTTCGACATTAAAGTTAAAAATTTTATAAAAGATGTTCTAGTCATGGGAATCTTGCCCTGCATGTTCTAGCGGGGAGAAACTGAATATAAATACTTTTCTTAACAATCCAATAATACACACGTCTACCAGCATAAAATCATGTTTCACAGAGATCTCTCAAGTTCCTAATAACTGTCCTATCAAAGGAAACAAACAATTAAAAGAAATTGTTATAAAATTAATTTTCAGAATGAAATAATTACCCTGACATGTAGCATTTGAGTAATATTTCAAAATTTTTTAAGACCTATAAATATATTATTTGAATGTAGGTCTCAAATATTTACAGTTATTAGCATTTATACATGAGGCATTCATTTATGTATATTAATATGAAAATTTGAATTTTGGGTTTAAAATAAAATAATGGCATAAAAGACAATTTTATGTAGTCACAATCATTAGAGACCATTTGATAAATTATGCAGGCATTTTCATTAAAAAGGCAGACAAATATTGACTTTATGATTTCTTTTAGACTATATAGCTTATGAAAGAAGATGTTGAAATCCCATGGTAGGGATTAAAAACAGTTCTTTAATTCTGACATGTAAAAGGAAGTAACATTTCATGTGAAAAGAAGGTTCTTTTTTATCTACCACTAATCTTCAAATCATGCTAAAAATGTTATAATACTGTGCTATAAACTAAAACAGTGTTATCACACTCGTGCATGCACACACACACATACACACACAACACATACACAATACTATTTAAGGAGTTCATTAAATTGTGTTGGGGGAGTGAAGGAAAAGTGGGGAGAGGGGAATGGTTCTAAATGGTTTCAAATGATATTGTATGAAAATTTCAAAAATTCAGTTAAAAAATGCAAAAGAAAATATTATTCTACAATGTGAATGCAAATTAGGGAGGCTGACAATCGAATTTTATGATGTAAATGGAAAATAACTAAGATATTCCTATTTATATACATTTAGATCATTACGTAGCATTGTATATGGAGCATTACATTTATATGTAATGTGATTAATATGTAATGCCATCCTACAGTTTTAATATAGTATAGCATTCTGCTGGAAGTAAATGAGACAGTTAAATATACTTCAAATGTCATGTATGGTTCAGTAAATGAAGACTCGGTGTCATCAACTGCCATGGAAATTATCAGTATCTATTCTGAAAGTGGGCCCTTGTATCCCCAATCCCACTGAAATTCTACAACTGTATTCCTGCTGAAAATCAACCTCCAGAGGTTAGGGCTCAGCAGATGATTATCTCAAGGCACTCTCCTCTGGGTCCTCAGAGTGTGTCTCTCAAATATTTGTCAACTTTGTTATTCCATGTATGTAGCTTTGGAGTTTGTGCTTTGGAGACTGGCCTAATAACTCCCTAGGAAAATGAGCCCAGTCTTATATAAAGACCCAGGAAGCATTGCAATGAATTCACAGGCATCATGTCTGGAGTTTATTTTGTAGCTCACAGTCATTACATTGACCCCAGTTATGAAAGCAATTTTCATTTGTCCTTGGTTAAACGTGGCTTACATGCAAATATCAACTCCCAAACACATGAACATCGAGATCATATAATCATCTCATCCAAACTCTACTTCAATAGGGAAAACTGAACTAAAATGTTCTGAGGATCTAGCTGAGTTGATGGGCAAAGTCTGGGATTCGGTCTGCAGCACTGCATAAAACAAGTGTAATGGGACATACCTGGAATTCCAGGACTCCTGAGAATTTTAAGTTTAAGGTCATCCTCGGTTATGCAGGAACTCCTGTTCAGCCAAGATACAAGAGACCCTGTTCCCCCCAAAATTAAAAAATGTTCTACTTAAATTAAACAGTGATACTTTTCAAATTTGAGAACATAATTCTCACTTTAGAACTTACATAAATTTTTTTGACGTGTAAAAGTTCATGTATTCTCGTTCTTCATTCCTAGAAAGCTTATGCGTTCTGAGTTTTCTTATTTCTTTTCCTTTTCTAGGATTCTCACTTAACATCTGGTATTTTCTGTGTGGAAGTTTGGACAATTTCCCTAATTATCCAGGGCAACCTTTAATGTGAATCATATAAATCATAGTACTTATGGAAATAACGTTGTGTGATGATTAGCAATCCTGTCAGGAAGTGTCTCAAACATAGAAAACACTTAATAAATACAAATTGTTCTAATTAGAATCTTGTTTGACATTTTTTCTCAAGGGGGAAAAGCGTCATTTTGACAAAACTGATTGTAATATTCACCATGTATTAGTATGTTTTCATTGTTGTTTCATGTCAAAGCCATTACAAAATGTTACTACCATTTTCATGTGCATATGTTTCCTGGTTTGGGTTCATATGATTTATATTAGTGGCTTAATTATCCTTGTTACCTTCCTATTAATAACATTTAAACTACCATTTAATTCTGCATTTAACACACACTTTAGAATTTTTTAATCTGGTCTTCAGTTATATGACTATCCAACATTTCAGTGTGGCAAATCTGTTGAAACAGATGCAAATCTTACTGCCCTAACCAGTCATATTACTAGTATTAGAAAACCATCTAAATAAGAAAGTTCATCCAGGAGCCTATCAATATATGCATACTTCACATTAAATGCCATCCAAGTCTTTGTGTTATTTCACATTGAAGTATATGTATTACTATAATTACTATCAATCGTGATATAATAGTTGAATCCCTTATATGACCAACAAAATATAATTTAGGAATATTAATAATATGTATATAACATATTGTCTATAATATTATATATACTATAATAAGTGATTTATAATTTCAAACTAGAAGAAAATTAATTTTAAGTTTTATTTTCCTCAGAGAGCTTTATGTGTGTAAGACAAGAATAACTACAATAAATATTCCTCTAAAATTAAGGAAAGGCTATGTAATTGAATTGCATCACTTTGGGAAGAGTGCTAGGGACTTTCTCAGAGCCAACCCTAGCTTTTTTAAACAAAAACTGATTCCAGAATTTCATACAACGTGTTTTGGTCTTATTCAGCCCTCTTCTTCACCCTCTAACTCTAGCTTTTTAATGAATCCCAATGTTCACAATGCACTAGAGAGTCTATCCTCCAAGGCCAAAGCCAAATACAAACACAATCAGAGGAAACTGAGAGACAGGGCCAGAGCTGCTTCTCAACACCAGGTAACTAGCTGTTTGTGTGCTGTACCACAGGGTTTATAAAAGAGTCCCCTAATTTCCAAAATGAGCAAAGGTTGACACAGGTGGAGATAAAGTGATGAAAAGTGTCATGTTCAATCCATTCTGGTCACTCATATCACTAAGATGGAGTCAGGCCAATGGCACAGTCAAAGCCTTTCTGGAGACAGTGCCCCTTGCTCTTTGTGTCACCATGGAACAGTTTTAATGATTTGGAGCTTTGATTTTTTTTTCTAAGTAGAGGAAGGCAATTTATTTGAAGAAATCTCTTCATATCTAACACTGATTACAATAAACTCTTGAAGTTTGCTAAATAAAATAAAGGAGAAATAGTCTTGACTCCACCATAGCCTAATATTAGACTGAAATGTTAATATATTATCTTAGAACTGATTTTAAACAAAAGAAAAATAGAACAGGAATGATGGGTCAGACCAAATTTGCTATTGTGCAAATTAAAATACCAGAAATGAAATCACTGAAGTTAAATAAAAACATGTAGTAAATATCATAAATTCAGTTTGCTTAAAATGGGGAAAATTACATAAATAATACTAAAACAAACATTATTTTTTCAACTACCTTAATTGGAAGAGCCATTTGGGAAGCAACTCAACACAGAGGCTCTATTTTTTTGTCTGGACTGAGTGGGCAATAAATATTTGGACTGCCTTACATTATGTTAGGAAGTTTTTATGTGGTTTTCACAACTTCAGGAAGGTTTATAGATGTTTCTAATAATTTGGTATGAAATTAAAGATTACTCTGAGTAAAACCACTCAGTCTTTTAAACAACATTTGGTTTGAGTAAAATACAAGAAAATCTATACTAATTTGAAATTTTTATTTTTTATTTAATAACTGGGTAGAACTCTAAGGCCATGTCTTTATCACTTTTTATGCTATAATTAAGTATTAGGGAAATTTTATTCTCAGATGATGGGGGTCTACTCTTGTGGAATATCATATTCATAACTTTTCAGCTAAAATGAGGTTCCTTGGTAAGTTAAGGTGAAACATACTCTTTATTTCTCTTGCTAAAAACTCTGCATATTGGCATACGATACATTCTTC